AAATTAATTTGTTTCACAATAAAACTCACAATCCGGCAATTCCTGGGAGTTCAATTACTAGGACCCCAGGTGTAATTAGGTGTACTGATATGCCGAAATGATATTGCAAATGATCAATTAGTCTAAAGAAGGATAGAATAGGGGTGTCTGATAGGCAAATGATATATATTCAGACCAAAGAAGGATAGAATAGGGTGTCTGATAGGCAAATGACATATATTTAGACCAAAGAAGGATAGAATAGGGTGTCTGATAGGCAAATGATATATATTCAGACCAAAGAAGGATGGAATAGGGTGTCTGATAGGCAAATGACATATAATCAGACCAAAGAAGGATAGAATAGGGTGTCTGATAGGCAAATGATATATATTTAGACCAAAGAAGAATAGAACAAGGTGTTCGATAGGCAAATGATATATATTCAGACCAAAGAAGGGTAGAACAAGGTGACTGATAGGCAAATGATATATATTTAGACCAAAGAAGAATAGAACAAGGTCTTTGATAGGCAAATGATATATATTCAGACCAAAGAAGGAAAGAAGACGGTGTTTGATAGGCAAATGATATATATTCAGACCAAAGAAGGGTAGAACAAGGTGACTGATAGGCAAATGATCAGACCAGAGAAGCATGGAATAGGGTGTCTGATAGGCAAATTATGCTGAATGAGAAGTGTTTAAAACAATTACATGTGCTCTCATTGTATTACTGAACGAGTTTCAGTGGCTTCTGAGCTTTGGCTGACTTACTTGTAGGCACTCGTATCCGACCAAAACACAAAAGATTCGAATTGGACTAACGTCACTTGATATATCCAAAGTATATTGATCGAAAGCGATGTCGTGCGAATTTGTGCGTAAAATCAAATCCTTCTCTGTGATCCAATCCTACCTTTCATATCACAAAACTTGGTATTTGAGCGTTTCGCATGGCTGCTCCTTATGCTTTGTTCACTATCTGATTTATAGGAAATCGGAGATGATATCATCAGTTAAATAATGTCCCTGATCTGAAAGATCTATTCCGGAAAAGTGCTATCAAATCCGGGCAGGGATTATTGTTTGTTCGTGTAACCTGACTGCGATTCAATACCGTTCCTCAGCAAGTAAGTTGCAAGCGCTGCAACCATGCTGATGGCCACATAATGGTTGTGCACATCGCACTCATCCAAGTATACAATTCATATGGCTTATTTCCAGGTCTTACCAGCAATACAGGTAGGCAGTCACAAAGTGCACCAATAGAGTATAGGCATGGCCATAGTCATATGCGACCTACAAAAAAAAAGTCACACACTGCCATATAGAGAAGAGTATCAGCTCCAGAATCAAGAAGTGTAAAGTTTTCCAAGCGCCATGTAGTTGTGCACAAATATGGGATAGGAGTCATAGGACCCGATTCACAAGAAGCAAGAGCTGAAACGTGAGAGAGGAGTGCTTGCTGTCGGCAATCAGCAGTCAGAACTCAGAAGTCCTGAGTCCAGCCACAGTCCAACTGTCCAGGTCTCCACAGAGTCCAGGGTCCCGTACAAACATATGTCCTCCGCATTAACTTTTACTGTGTGGAATGTTTTTTGATATGACGGTCCAACCAGCGCTGGATAATGATAAATTCCAGGACAAATATTTCTTCTATTTTAACCCCCAAAAAAAGCACAATCATTATCAGTGAATCATGTTGTGTGTGCTCTGAAGTGACTGAACTCGTTTGTTATTGTTTATTTATATTGTAAATATCGTCGTTACCGTGTAACGCTAATAGTACATAAATATATCCGAAGTAAAGTGAGGGCGTACTCGTATATGGCACTGTAAAGACCAATAGCACTGATGAATCCACCAGACGTCGCCATGCACAACAACGAGTCCCAGGCAAGGGGACCGGCAGTCCTCAAGATGAAAGGACAGGCAAGTACAATCGGGACATTCATGAACAATGTAGTATTCTCATCATTCTGGCTATCCGCACCATACGCCTTTGCCGAGACAGGCTGGGTATTAGGTATTATATTTCTGACGGTTACACTGACCACATCCTGGGTCACAGGTCTGATGTACGGGCGATTAGTGAACGATCGCTATCAGGAATTGCTCGACCACAGAAACCGCGAATTAGAGTCGCGTCCTCCAGGTAATAACCGTGGGGTTGCGCCCAAGGTAAAGGGTAGTCCTAAGGAGATGGACCCAGAAACAACGCCAAATGGTGCTGTCAACCTGTGCTCGAGCACAGAATTCAGTAAAGCGCCCGAAGATGGCATAGGTACCATGGCGACGCGCGCGTCCGAATTCTCCACCGGAGCCGCACAGTCGCATGAAGTCGACGAAGAGGTTACCTTGAGTGCTATGTATGCCGATGCGCTGGGTGCGAGAGTGGGTCCTATCATCGGGGATTTCATATGCATACTGAACTTTGTACCAGCAAGTGCCGGGGAGATGATACTGTGTGGTCAACTCCTTGAGCTGCTATTCCCTGACGTAATGGAGATTGGATATTGGATCCTGATTGTCGGGCTATACTCGTTTTTCGCGTACATGATCCCGAATTTGGAGACCTTGGAGAAGGCTTCTTGGTTATTCGGGATATTTCTGATTTCTTCTGCCGTGTTTATGATCACCGGTACTGTGCTGAGTATCAAAGCTAACGACCCTGTGACGTCGTCGGAATACGGTGGCCAGGACGCGCTTTCAATCTTCAATGGGCTCGGTGTCTTTGCTTTTATTTTTGGAGGTATGTGTTTGCGGTGTGTGTGGCTATGTTGTAATATTCAGTCTTATATTGTGTAAAAAGAGATAACATATGTATATATTGTGGGAGGAACTTATGTATGTTTGTGCAAGCGTACTGAAATTGCATGCGCACGACAATGTATTTGAAAGATCCGTGTACGAGAATTTGTGTGCGAGGTTCACCCGTGTTTATTGGTGCCGAGATGTACTATCATT